CCACGCTTTGACGTGTTGCTGCAAGGGCGACCGCACCGAACGACACACAAGGCCATTCGCGATCTGGTCCTCGGCGAAGCCCTCACTTGCAGGGAGCGCGCCAGTGCGCGAGAAGGCGGGCCTCCTGCCGACCAGTCTCGCCGACGACGGCCTTGGGCGAACACGGAGCGTCTGCGCAGGCATGCGAACAGTTGGCTGCCGCTCCTCCTCCTCCTCCTCCTCCTCCTCCTCCTCCTCCTCCTCCTCCTCCTCCTCCTCCTCCTCCTCCTCCTCCTCCTCCTCCTCCTCCTCCTCCTCCTCCTCCTCCTCCTCCTCCTCGCTCCTCCTCGCTCCTCCTCCTCCTCCTCCTCCCCCTGGGGCTGTTGGCAAGGCGCCCGACTTCGCCTGCACCTCGGAACTTCGTGGCGACTCTCTGCAGAGCTGCGCCGTGGATGGTGGAGCAGTTCTCCTCGCCTGCGAGCCCTTCAAGCGCACCTTCAAGCACGCGGACATCGAGTGCTCGACGGCCAGGTTCAAATTCACGCCCGCTGTCTTGGAGTCTCATGGTGGTGGGTCGAACCCCATGGCCCGCAGCGCCCTCGACCGGTCCGCGGAAGCCCAAACGGCGGCACGGTTCAGAAGTCAGGAGCCAGCCTCGCTCGGAATCGCCCAGCGCATATCGTGCACCCTGCAGGGAGAGTGCGCGGGCGGCTCTGAACAGGCTCGTTCCTCCGGTCTCGTTTCCTGCCCTTTAACGGGTGGGGCGCGCGTGAGTCCGGGGGCGTCGTATAGGCATTCACTTTTGCGCCCTGGCGCATCTGCTCGTTCTTTTTCGTTCCCCCTTCTGGTCTTGCCCTTTTCTTTCGCATCACCTTTGCGCGCTGGTGGGCCTCCTACTGGTTTTTTGTTGCGGGGGGGGGTCCATTGTTTTTTCTTTTGTTTCTTGCGTATGACTTCACAGGAAATGGTTCATCATAGTTTTATACAACTGTGTTGGGGGTCTCTTGGCGCTGCTCTTGTCGCCGGTGTTTCCGCGCTTCAGCTCTTAGGTACCTCTTCTTCCTTTTCCTCGTATGCCCTCTTGCCCCCTATCCCCCGCCGCTTGCGCGCTGGCGTGCGCAACAGCGCGCGGTCAGCACGCGCAGTGTTCTGGTCTCCCTCCCCTTGCGCGGGCCCATGCGCCGTTTGGCAGCTGGAGCTGGTTTGGAGAAGGCTTCGAATAGCTGGAGAGTGGGTCGCGCGGGCGATGTCATGATTTAGAAGTGGGCCTGCCGCTGCGCTCGCCCAGGTGCTGATGGGGCAGCGGAGCGCGCTTGGCGCCCAGCATTCCTGGGGGTTCCCATGGCGGTGCCGCCAGCGCCTTGCCGACGCGCGCGAAGGGCCGCTGACCGCTATGCGTCATTGCTGGCCCGGCCACCACATGGTGTGTGTGTGCCCGCCATTCGCCTCCCATTGTGCCGGCCCCATTTATTGTGGATCAAGCCTTGTTTTCGTTGGAGTCACATTTTCTACGTTGCTTGCCTTCTCTTGCGCCGCTGGGGGATGACGTGGTCAAGGTTTGTCAGCGCACGCTTCAACGCGAGGTGTGCAATTCAAGGTTCGAGTCCCGAATCTTTGCCCAAGCCTGAACGATGCCACGCGGCAGTCGAGGACATACATGGCGTGGGCGGTCGTATTACTAGTCGTCGTCGGAGGGCAGGCCCCAGCGCCGCTGCGGCGCGGCCCGCTTTTGCGGGCGAAGCTTCCGCCGCGCGCCCCCGGCGGAGCTGGGCTTGCTCCCGCCCCACCTCCTCCTCCCTCCTCCTCCTCCTCCCTCCTCCTCCTCCTCCTCCTCCTCCTCCTCCTCCCTCCTCCTCCTCCCTCCTCCTCCCTCCTCCATGTGCAGACCCGGCGGGCCGGGGCCGAGCCCTCGACCGGCGCCCACCGCGGCGCCAGCGACGAGCCCCCCTCGGGAGGGGCTGGGCGCCCCCCGGGGGCCCGAGGCGCGCCGCGCACCCGCGGGCGGGCGGTCCGAGCGACGCCCCGCGCACCCGCGGGCCATGCGGAGGCCGCGTCGGCGGGCTGCAGACCAGGTCCTCCTGCAGGTCACGTCGATGTCCAGCGCGCGACGACGGCGCCCCTTCTCGAAGGCCGACTCGACGCTAGCCCCGCCCAGGGGCAAGAGCGCTCCTGTCACGCGCGAGTGATCGGAACAGCTGCCAGGGCCGTCGCCCGCGCCGAGACCGATGGCGGGTCCGCCGAAGAGGACCGCCGATGAGGGCGTCCTGCCGTCAGCGCGTGTCCGTCCTCCTGGCGGCACCGCCTGAGGCCCAGGGCGAGTGTCAGATCGTTCCTGCGCCTTGCGCCCGCGCGGTGCCCGTTCGACTCCAGGCGTTTTTGTTGCCATCTTCCTCTTCCCCCGTTCGTTTTCAGACTGCCAGTGGGGTTTGGATGGGGCTCTTTCCATCAGCGGGTGTTCGTGTGGAGTCTTGCGGGGATAGCGCGTCTATCGTTTTGTATGGTCACTAAAGTTGGGTTGGGTTGAATCTACCAGTCGCGTCGCCCCAGAGTGGGAGATAATCAAACGAGGACAGCAACAGTAATACTACGCAATATTGTTCGTTCTTATCTGCTCGCGTGCCGCTCACCATGTGTATCCCGAACCCTAGATACCCGCCCTCTTCGTCTTCGATCGTGCCCCCCTTGAGGGTACATCTTCTCTAGCTGCTGCGTGTAGTTGGCGCAGCCGCTAAAACAGGGGAAGGAAGGGAGGAGGGAGGAGACAAGGGTGAGCGAGAAGGATGGAGCACGAGAGAGATTTCCGAGAGGAGGGTCAGGAGCAGGAGTGCAAGCGGCAGCACAAGACGGGCGGATCGGGCTGGCGGACCCTAACAGACAGGTCAGGCGGGCGTGCCAAGGCGGCTGGGTCGAGCGGGCGTGTCGTTGAAGCGTCAATCCCATAACGGCGTCTCGAGCAATAGCGCGATTTCTAAGTGAACCGTATGGGAATCCATAGCGAGATTGTGATTCCCGAGTCTAGGGGGCACGGCGCCGCAATACATTGTGAAGGAGTACCACGCGAGAGTGCGATGCCTGCATACATTATGAGAGGGTCCCGCGCGAGAGCACGGTTTTGAAAGAAGATGTGAGGAAGTATCAGGCGGGAGCCGCTGCTATTGTAAGCCAGGGGCCAGGGGCCAGTGTGAGCACTACGATTTTCGCTGATGAGAAATAGGGTGCGAGCGCAGGGATGATCACTGTATTTTTCGTTGAAAGCCCAATTGTGCACCGGGCAGGGGGGGGCAACAATACTTTGTTGTCGGGGATGCGAATTCAACAAACATAACAACAAAGACAGCAACAGCAAACACAAAGAACAACAACAACAACAACAACAACAACAACAACAACAACACCAACAACAACAACACAACAACAACTTCAACAACAACAACAACAACAACAACAATCATTTTACCCGAACGCGTGGTGTTCTCCCCAGTGCCAGGGTTTTCATACGACACCAGGCAATACCCCCACTTCGTGGGGGGGCATTACAAGCTCTACCAAATATCCAAACGACTCTTCGCGACCACCCAAACCCAGCTTCCCGCCCTATGACGTTGGGACACTTCACTTCGTGGCGTGCGGACGACCGTGGCTACTACACTGGCGTGGGGTACACACCCACAGAACTTGGTCACTTATTCGGGGCGCGCATGTGCCCAGCATGGTGCAATTGTGCCATACAATACATAATACAGAGAGACAGAGAGAGAGACAGAGAGCAGACAGAGAGAGAGACAGAGAGAGCGGAGTTGGTGCACATCTCCGACATCGTGTGATTCGTGTGATTTTATGATGCGCGGTGGTAAAATTCTTAAGAACCCAATGGTTTTTGGAGATTTCGGCGTGCGCGCGCAAAAAACGAATGTGTCCCGCATGGTATTATTTGACAGGGATGATGGCCCTGGCAGGTGCGCAACCGTTGTCGCAGAAGTTCGAAAAAGTTGCTCGCAAAAGCCCGTTTGACAGAAATGTTTAAAAAGTGTTGGGTTTCCTACGAATCCGCAAGAGCGCGCGGGATGAGATTTTGACATTTTTTTGTTGAAAAACCATTGGTTTTTTGATGTTTTTATGTTAAAATCGCTCCGAACACTAAGCTTTTGGAAGGATTTCGTCTTGCGCGCGCGAATGTCCACTTTACCTTATTTTTTGCAAGGGATTCTTGAAATTTGATTATATTAGAACAAGAAATGTCATTTTATAGTGTTTTTTGCAAGGGAAAGCGGGGGGGAACAAAACAACCGGATCTTGTTCACATCGAATTACCTGAGGCTTCCTCACGAAAATGATGAAAATGTAGCTGCGGCCTAGGCGGCGCAGGGGGGCCGTGCACCAGGGGTCCCAACAATAATTATTCTTTAGAATTAATAATGTTCAACAACAACAACAACAACACTAACAACAACAACAACAACAACAGCAACAGCAACAGCAACAGCAACAACAACAACAACACCAACAACAACAACAACAGCAGCAGCAGCAGCAACAACAACAACAAACAACAACACATTCAACAACCAACACAGCGTTGTACGAGGTCTCGGCGTTCCGCACGTAGCAAGGCGAAAGTTCTCTCATCCTCCCCCCCTCCCCCTAAACAATAAGGCTTTGGAGCTCTGAACCTCGCACAGGGTGAGTTCAGTGCTTACCGTTCCCATTCGCTGTGGGATTTCGGCTGCGATTGGTGTCTGATCTGATCCGCTTTGTCATCCTCCTCGCACCCTGTCTCCTCCTGCACCTGTCTGTCAGGTGTGAGTAGTGCCTTGCGTTCGATGGTGTTTGGGGGTCGAAAAGGTTTCTCCCTTCAGGGACCGGGCTTCGTTGCTTCTGACTGTCTAACAGGAGCCCCTCCGTGAACACATCCCAAATTGCTCGCTTGCCTGCTTCTCCTCCTCCCGCGCGGCCAGGCCACTGGGCGCCGCGCTCAGCCATCCAGCCCCCCCCCCTCTCGCGCCCGCCGTCCATGGTTCGAGGGAGCGCAGGCTCGTGGACGAGGGGAAGGTCGAGGGGTCGAGGAGCATGCTATCGAGGGCGGGGACTTCTCGGGCAGGCGCCCCAGTGAGATCGCACGGCGTGCGGAATTTTCGGGCGCAGGAATTCGCTGCCTCGCAGGGAGGAGGATATTGAGGAACAGCAGGGGTAGCAGCGGGAGGAGGAGGAGGAGGAGGAGGAGGAGGAGGAGGAGGCGAAGGAGGAGGAGGACCAGCAGCAGCAGCAGCAGCAGCAGGCGCAGGAGGGGTGGAGAAGGAGGAGTAGCAGCAGCACCAGTAGGCAGGAGTAGGGGACATCGGACGAGCAGTGGGGAGGAGGAGGAGGAGGAGGAGGAGGAGGAGGAGGAGGAGGAGGAGGAGGAGGAGGAGGAGCAGAAGGGGTGGATCAGGCCGAACGGGATCTGAAGCAGGATGCAGACGCAGGAGGGCGAGGAGGAGCAGCAGCAGGAGGAGCATGACGAGCACGGACAGTGCTTCTCTTCAGAGCCTTTGGGCTCAGGGGTCTCCACTCAATCGCCGCTCGGCGGACGAGCGCGGTGGCACCACTCGCGCGCTGCGCGCTCTGGCGCGCACGCAGTGCGAGAGAGAGACAGAGAGACAGAGAGGGAGACAGAGAGAGAGACGGATATATAGAGACAGGGACAGGCCGACATGGACGGACAGACAAAACGAGCGGACAGACAGACAGAGAGACAGACAGACAGACAAACAGACCGACCGACAGACAGACAGGCAGACAGACAGACAGGTCGTCGTTTTTTATTTGTAGTTTTGCCGATCGGCATGGGCCCTCGCCCCCCCCTCCCCCCCATGGAGTAAATCTTTGCTGTTTTTTGGCGCCTGTTTCGAGCGGTTGGAGTTTCCCCTCAGGACCCACTGCTGCAAACAGTCGCATTACCAGAGCTCCGGAGCCAGACCCCCCCCTCACCAGACAGACCGACCGACCGACACACAGACAGGCAGACAGGCAATACGACAGAGATAGACAGAGAGAGAGGGAGAGAGTCACTTTCACCGCGATACTATTGGGCCGCCGCGGCGGACCGCGGTACACTCTGCTGTGAGCGCGGTCCGGGCGAAGTGTTCGCCCATAGGCAGGCTCGAGATGCACACATCAGCAGGTGTTCCCAGTATGTTTCTGAGGGAGGCCCGCCGAAACATCTGGGCACAGCGACGACGAGTATCTCGCGGGAGCCGGCATTTGGCGGGTATTCTATTCTGAATTCGCACGGGGGCGGGGCTGGAGTGAGAATGAGAGCGGGGAGAGGGAGACGGAGAGAAGGAGACCCACCCAGCTATTCTCGTGAGCAGGTCCAGCGGAGGGGTGTCCCACGGAGACCACCATGAGACCTCGCCGTCATATGGGGGGCTGCGATTTGCGAAATTGTCGCCTCTTTCCTGGACTCCTAGGAGGTCCAGTGGAGGGGTGTCACACGGGGACCACCATGAGACCTCGCTGTCCCTGGGGGGCTGTGATCTGCGAAACGGTCGCCACTTTCGTGGGCTTTTGGGAGGTCCAGCGGAGGGGTGTCCCACACAGGTCACCATGAGACCTCGCCAGCCCTGGGGGGCTGCGTTCTGCGAAACTATCGCCACTTTCGTGGGCTCCTGGGAGGCCAGCGGAGGGGTGGCCCACGCAGATGATCATAAGACCTCGCCGTCCCTGGGTGGTTGCGATCTGCGAAACTGTCGCCACTTTCGTGGGCTTCTTGGAGGTCCAGCGGAGGGGTGTCCCATGGAGACCACCGTAAGACCTCGCCGTCATATGGGTGGCTGCGATCTGCGAAATTGTCGCCACTTTCGTGGACTCCTGGGAGTCCAGCGGAGGGTGTCCCACGGGCACCACCCTGAGACCTCGCCGTCATTTGGGTGGCTGCGATCTGCGAAACCATCGCCACTTTCGTGGGCTCCTGGGAGGTCCAGAGAGGTACGTCTTAGGCAGATCACCATGAAACCTCGCCGTTCTCTGGGTGGCTGCGATCTGCGAAATTGTCGCCATTGTCGTGGGCTCCTCGGAGGCCAAAGCGGAGGTGCGTTTTGCGCAGATCACCATGAGACTTCGCCGTTATCTGGGGGGCTGTGATCTGCGAAATTGTCGCCTCTTTCGTTGGCTCCTGGGAGGTCCAGCGGAGGAGTGTCCCACGCAGATGACCATGAGACCTCACCGTCCCCGGGTGGCTGCGATCTGCGAAGTTGTCGCCACTGTCGTGGGCTCCTGATAGGTCCAGCGGAGGGGTGTCCCACGGAGACCACCATGAGACCTCGTCGTCATGGGGGTCTGTGATCTGCGAGACTGTCGCTTCTTTCCTGGACTCCTAGGAGGTCCAGCGGAGGGGTCTCTCACGGGGACCACCATGAGACCTCGCCGTCCCTGGGGGGCTGTGATCTGCGAAACTATCGCCACTTTCGTGGGCTCTTGGGAAGTCCAACGGAGGGGTGTCCCACGGGGACCACCATGAGACCTCGCAAGCCCTGGGTGGCTGCGATCTGCGAAATTGTCGCCTCTCTCGTTGGCTCCTGGGAGGTCCAGAGGAGGTGCGTCTTACGCAGATCACTCTGATACCTCGCCGTTCCCTGGGTGGCTGCGATCTACGAAACCGTCGCCTCTTTCTGGAAGGCCCAGCGGAAGTGCGTTTTTCGCAGATCACCATGAGACCTCGCCGTTATTTGGGGGGCTGCGATCTGTGAAACTGTCGCCTCTTTCGTGGGCTCCTGGGAGGCCCAGCGGAGAGGTGGCCCACGCAGATGACCACGAGACCTCGCCGTCCCTGGGGGGCTGCGATCTGCAAAACTATCGCCACTTTCGTGGGTTCCTGGGCGGTCCAGCGGAGGGGTGTCCCACGGGGACCACCATGAGACCTCGCCGTCCCTGGGGGGCTGCGATCTGCAAAACTATCGCCACTTTCGTGGGCTCCTGGAAGGCCCAGCGGAGGTGCGTCTTACACAGATCACTATGAGACCTCGCCGTCCTCTGGGGGGTTGGGCTGCGACGTTGGGGGGTCCAGCGGCGCTGCTTTTACGAATTATGTCTCTTATCGTCTTTCTTTATGGTGTTTCCACACTCCCTCGTGGCCGCCTTCCTACTACCGCGTCTGACCCTTAAGAACGACGCCGAAGATGTGAACATGTGACTCTGGCCCGACGTTTTTTTGCGAATCGTTCAAGGGCACGGCGGATCCTTCAGTGTTCGCTTTTGTATTGAGCGGTCCGATGTGTAGTCGCCTGAGGTGTACAATGGGTTGGGTACGTCCCTGGGTAGTTAAAGAAAAGAAGACCAAGTGTGTCTGCCAACTGCTGCACTCTGAGGTGCACATGTGAGTGTCAGATTTCTAAGTATGGATAGCGGCCTGAAGGAGCCATCCAACAGATAACGAATTCAAGCCACACCCCGAGAATGAAGATAACTGTACGAATTTGCCACTCGCGCTCACAGGATCCAAGGAACTATGCATCCCTGCTACGGTTCGCCTTGCCCGTGTTGATGTGGCATGAATGGTCCCAGTCACGCTCGGAGGAGGTGTCCCAAGAGTTGTGCCCGTACTTTAGTTAGAATAATCGCGAGAACATTAACGCTGCTGATTGTTGTTACCGTCCCAGTGAGATGCTGGCGGCGCTCCCACGTGTTTTGCTGGCTATGCGATCCATCATTGCTCCAGTCCTGGTCTCAGTCGCGCTTCTGCCAAGGATTTCGTCGGCAGCCAGGTTGACCTCGAATCCGTGCTTCTGGTCGGGATCTGCTGCCTCGAGTAGCTGGCGGCTATCACCTTGTTGGTCGACGCGGTGACATTCTAGTCGCTCTTCATTGCTGCCTCGATCGCGTCGCCGTCGTTGGACTTCGTGTCACCTGAGGGAAGTTGCGTCTTGCCGATGAGCGCCTGGATCCAACCCGCCTCCGTTGGAGACAGCGCGTCATCATCCTCGGCCTCCTCCTTGCGGCTCCGGGAGTCCCTAAGACCCTGAGGACTCTCGCTCGCCCGAGGTGTGGGCGGGCAGGCGCGGTCTCCGCCGCTGCCATGGCCTGAGGCCCGCGAGAGACGCTCGATGAATTCGTCGGCCTGGTCTGTGAACGCTGACTTCATCGCCGAGGCCACGAACTCCGCTTGCTTCCTGAGCTCAAGCTCTTTCTCGCGGCCCCCGCGCTCCTTCGCAAGAAGGCTGCGAAGTCCTGATCGAGGGCCGTCATCTGCTCCCTCATCTCATCCTTCCTCTTGGCGTTGCTGTCCTGGCGGCTCCTACCCCGATCGCGGTCCTTGGGGAGCGGTCCCGCATTGGGGTCGGACGAGGAGCGTCCGCGCCGGCGGTCACGAGGGTTATCAGTGTCGTGCCTGACGGGCCCGCTGCCACGCCCACCGAGGAGGGTGCCGCGACCGTGCATCTCCGAGTGGCTTGGGCCTGGGCCGGCGCGAGCGCTGCAGACGTCGCCAAGCTTTGAGGACGGATCCAGTCATTAGAGCAGAAATGCAACGGGTTGCGGCGTGCGCGGCTGCGAGCACGATGGACTTTGGGTGTGCCAATCAGATGTGACTCGAGCGTCCGTTCCAGGAGCCACCCCACGGTGAAATCTATGGAGAGCTCCAGGAGTGGTGCACGGGCGATACTGCCGCAGAGGAGCGGGGACGGGGCGGAGACTCCATTTTCTAGGTTTCGAGGCCTCGGAGTTTTTGGCCAAAACACAATTGGTGGCCAGGGCGGCGACGGAGACCAGGTTGGACGCTACATCGGTCCAGGCCCCCGATGTCAGGCCAGAGCTTCACTGGGCAGAAGCCTGGTCGACATCGGCTGCAGAGATCTCGGGCATGGGATCCATATCGTCAGCAGGAGAAGGAGCAGCAGGAGGGAAGTGATGCACGGAGGGCTCGAACCTCGGTGGCTGCATGTGAGGTACTAAGGACCACCCAGGGCATCTCGCTACATTCAAGCATCGCCCGAGCGACTCGCCCTGTGATCTTGAGACCTCGGCTACCCAGAGCCCTGGCACAACTTATCGTTCGCCTGAAGCAGCTGTGCAAGTGAACGGTGCTCTCTTGAGGCGATAAAGCAGTGCTCCTATCGTGGAGAAAAAAAAAAACGTAAGGTGGGCAGGTTTTCGTCGACGGGCGCGGCAGAAAGGCTCTGTCTGGTCTGGAGCCACGGCGGCAGGGCCTGGCGGGCCCGTGCGCAGAGCCACACGGCAGCAGCCTGCAGCGTCAGGTCGAGACGCAGCGCTCAGTCCGAGTCACTCAGGGATGGCTAGGCGTCAGGGGCGACGATAGGGGGGCTTAGGCATAGGGGGGGATGCATGACCCCCAATCGCCCATTGATCGCCGATAAGGGCCCAAAAACCCCAACCTGCCCAGGAAGGTGCGGATTCACTATCGGGGGTCTATCGTCGATCTATCGGCGACGTATCGCCGATTCCAGGTCGATGCACCCCCCCCCCATATGCCAATCCCCCCTATCGTTGCCCCCTAGGGTGGGGGAAGCGGATGACGTAGGGGCTCCACGCCTTCCAGATTTGATCAGCTCTTCCATCATCGGAAGTGAGCAGACATTCGCTGGCGCTCTGCAACCCAGCCTCCAGCTCCGCCTCGGACTGCTGCCAGATCTGCGGAGCTGGTGGAGGGCGGGCTCGGTTTTTAGGTTCTGCCACCGTAGTGCGAGTCTTCCAGAGGCCTCGGCGGACAACCTTTTGCGGGCAAGCGTGCAGCCTGCGCCCACTCGTTGGCCGCCCGCGTCGCTGCCTTTATGACGCACTGCGGTCGAGGTCATACTGGAAGGCACCATTGCCCGACCAACATCTTCAGCAAGTAGGGCGGCTGAGTCCTGAGGCCGTCATGTGGAGGTTCGGGGGCACATAACAGCTCGACGTGACGGCCTTGTTCCCTTTCCGTTGCCCCTAGAAAGGTACCTTCGGTGGTTTAGAGATCATTCGCGTGTAGGTGCCATCTTCATCTCCTGGGCCATGTTGTACAGCTGCTTGGCCATCCATTTCTGGCGATGTAGACGGCGAAACTCATGGGGTAGCTTCATCACGGGGATGCGTGTCGACGGGTACCTGAGCTTGCGCAGGTGGAGGTCCAATGAATTGTCGTCATGCGCTGGCGTGCGAACGTCGTGATGAACTCGTTGGCTGCCGCATAGCAGCAGAAGTCTACGACGGCAGGTCGAGCCAGGAACTTGGACGCCATCAGGTTCATCCACTTCGCGGCCATGAGGGTGAGGAACACGCCAAAGCGCTTCATCTCGAATATGTTAACGGACAGACCGCTCCCGTCCGCATCAAGCACGCAGACGGAGCCGACTCCGACAGCGCGCTTGGGTAAGACGCTAACCGATCATGGTGAGCCCGGTAGTCCTTCTGCCTCTACCCTAGACTGCTGATCAGCATCTGGGGTCGTCGATGTCCACCCTGGGTATCCACCGCGAGGACGAGGTTAACGGAGCCAGGAGGGTGAATGTTTTCGTTGTTGTCGGCTCTTGCCTACAACGTGCAGGTGTCCCCGCCCAGCTCTGCGGTGTGTCCCTCTGTCTCCAGCGAGTCGTCGACGTTACAGTTGGGCCGATATCGACGGATGGCAATTACCTTCACAGCGAAACGCGGTTCGCTCTGAGAAAACTCAGAGGAGCGGGGTCATCATACAAGGGCCCAAGCTGCGGCGCAGCCGCCGATAGAAGAGGCGGCTGCCTAGATGCCCTCGTGGATGAGAGAGTGCTCGAGCATGTTCAGCCAGTCGGCCGAGGAGTCCAGGTAGAGGCCCCATGCGGATCCCAGTTTTTCCAACGCAGACTCCCGAATGGAGGAGGAGGAGGAGGAGGAGGAGGAGGAGGAGGAGGAGGAGGGGGAACATGCGGAGAAGGCGGAGGGAGGCGGGGCTCGTGTAGGTCGCCGCCGATGTATCTCTGTGTATCTTGCTCCGTCCCACTCCTCGCACCCGGGGCGCTGATGCTCCAGGCTCCGCGACTGGCGCTGGGGCGGCTCCCCCCCCCCTTCACTCAGACACGCCCAGAGCGCCAGGCACGGCCACCCCCCAGCTTGGTTCCCTCGCCCCCTCGTCCCCCCTCCCTCCTTTCCTCCCTCTCTTCTCCCCTCTCTTCTCGTTTCACCCCCCCTAAGCCTCATCTCTCCTCATCCTCCCCCCATCACTCCTCCCCCTGTCTCTTCGTCTCCTACTCTTCCTCCTCACCCCTTTTTTTCCGTCTCTGCCGTCCCTCCCTCCCCTCCCTCCCCCTCTCTCCCCCGTGAAGCTCTCCCTCCCCCTCCCGCTGTCTTCCTCCTCAGGCCTCCGCCCCCCTGACCTGCTCCCTCATCCCGTGCTCTTTCCTGCTCCGTTCCCTCCGTCCTCCCTCGGCCGCCCTTCCTGTTCTCCCGCCCTCATCCCTCACTCCGTATGCGTCCTCTTCCCTGATTCATCCTCTCGGAGAGGTCATGGGAGCGGGCGTCCATGTTGTAATTAATCTCCTCTTCCCCAAACCCTGTCTTCTCAATCCTCCACCCCCCATCTATCCTCCCTCCTCTCCACTATCTCCCCCCCTTCTCCCGCACCCACTTCCCTCACTCCTCCCTCTCCGATGCTGCCTCAGACTGGGCACCCTGATAGAGAAGCCCGAGGTGTCCTCGCCAGCACTGCCGATCGACTGGACCGTTCAAACTCGGCCTGCCGGAGCTCCACCCGGTGTTTCGAGCACCAGCTGCGGTTTGCTGGACGATCCGGGCAGACGTGCCATCGCGCAGGGCATCGTGGGGCAGAGGACGAGAGGGGGGGGGGCTGGAGCGAAGCACGCCTAACGCATGGACTTCTCTCGCGCCTCCGCACCCGCCCCCCCCCCCCCCGCGCTCCCCCTTCACACTTCTGAGGCCGCGGCCCCCCGCGCCATGCCCTCCAAAGGGCACGGGCCGGCGGCCTCCTGGAGCGCATCACGACTCCGTCGCTCGCTCCGCTTCGCCTCGCCTCGCTTCGCTCCCCGCGCTCTCCTCCTCCTCCTCCTCCTCCTCCTCCTCCTCCTCCTCCTCCTCCTGCTCCTCCTCTCCTCCTCCTCCTCCTCCTCCTCCCCCTCCTCCCTCCCTCCCTCCTCCCTCCTCCTCCTCCTCCTCCTCCTCCTCCTCCTCCTCTCCTCTCCTCCTCCTCCTCCTCCTCCCTCCTCCTCCTCCTCCTCCTCCTCCTCCCTCCTCCTCTCCTCCTCCTCCTCCTCCTCCTCCTCCCTCCTCCCTCCCTCCTCCTCCTCCTCCTCCTCCTCCTCCCTCCTCCTCCTCCTCCTCCTCCTCCCTCCTCCCTCCCTCCTCCTCCTCCTCCTCTCCTCCTCCTCCTCTTCCTCCTCCCTCCTCCCTCCCTCCTCCCTCCTCCCTCCTCCCTCCTCCTCCTCCTCCGCGCCGAGGCCTGGGGCGCCTACCCCGGCCAGCCGCCCCCCGGCCACTTCCCCGCCGGGCCGCCGCCGGGCTTCCCGCCGCCAGGCGCCGGGGCCCCTCCCGCGCGCGCCCGCGCGAGCCCCACGCCTCGGCGCGGCCCCCGGGGGGGGGGCCCGGCCTCGGGCAGCGCGCTCTCCCCGCCGGTGGGCGTCCCGGAGCCCCTCGGGGCAAGGAAAGGATCACATTGGTATCGCTCAGACGTGTGTCGGGGGCGGAAAAAGAGGGGGGTGATGACTGGGGGGGGGATATCCTGGCGGGGGCCATGATATTTCCCCAGATTTCATGGCGCCTCTTCTTACTTCATTACGTCCCTGGCCCCCCCGCTGGGCCGCGCACATGCCGCCGGTCATGATTTGCACCCCCCCCTCTTGGACACCCCCCCTGTTTGCCGCTCCCGAGTGTGCATTTTTTTCTCGGCGAGAGCCATCGAGGACCCTCCTGGACCATCGAGCAAAGAAGACCCGCACGAAACCGAAAGATACACGGGAAACGGACGTCCGAGCGACGGCAAGATCACAACGGGAGGTTTGTCGCAGTGCTCGGCTTCTGGAGGCCCTGACCGGCCCTCGGGACCGTCTAGAGACGATTCCGGGTGAAAAGCCGGTCCAGGGGAATGGGTCGAGACCTCTGATGGTCGGCGTTATGGAAGTCGGCGTTCTGAAAACATCATGACGTCTGGGGTATGGGATGTGGGAGCCTCCAGGGGGAATCAGCCACGCGCAGAAGGTCAAGCGACCAAGAACATCGATCAAGGGGGCGTGGATCAGCGATGGGCCCCGTTTCCAGGGGGAATCGTGGACTGCTGCCGCCGAGCGAGGCGGCACGGGCCGCATCTTGGGGGAGGACACCTCCCCCGATCCATGGATTTGGCGACCGCGCGCCAAGTCCATGGATCGCTAATCCACGTTTGCGCGCCCCCGAGAAGGGGGGAGGGGGGGGGAGGGGGGAGGGCTTCTCAGAAGCACCCCTACTTTTTCGAAGGTGCGGGCCGCATCCACAGGTGTAGGGCCGGCGCCTTCCAGGAAGCAGCCTCATTATCAGACGCCGTCCCCCTCTCCCTCCACGCCCCTTGAGTGCGCGCCGCCAGGGGAGGCGCTCCTACATCCATCCATCCATCCTTCACTGTTCTTCCGTGCTGGTACACAGCTCCTGGCCGTCGGCCACCAGACGGGGCGGTAGAGCGTCACGGGCGTTTCGCCCGATACCTCGTCGTCTTCTCTGGGCCCCAACCTTGAGACAGATCCAACTGCAACGAGGATGGAGGCGAGGCTGGTTTCAGAATGTGGCTGGGGCCCCAGTGCCGCGCACGTCCAAATTATTTCCCATCAGTAACGCGGATGGACGTGCGATGGGGTTGGTAATGATGCCTGCACCGCCCCACCCCTGGAGGGTGGTGTATTTCTGCAATGTGATTTCTTCGCATGAGAATTTCCCACAGATGCTATCACCAAGAGTTTGTTTATGTTGCAGCAGCAGCTGCAGGGATGTTGTGCAGTCCCTTTGGAAGCACGGGCCAATGTTTGAGTTTTCGTCAATTTCAGCCACGAACGCTTCAAGTGTGAAACAGGCACGGGGATGGAGGGTGGCTTCGCTTTAAAACCGTGGTTCGCATGGGACCTTCTCATCTGCTCAACATACCCTTGAAACGATGTTAGTTGCACTGACAGCAGTCGGGTCATTTCAAGTCATTTCCAACGTTTGGTCCCAAAGATGGATGGCGACTCCTTTCCAAAAATGGGGCCCTCGCCTGCATGGCAGACTCATGGGATGCTCGGATTTCAAGAGGGACGATTATCGCAACGAAAAGGGCAGCCGTTCGAGACCCGTGAGGATGATGATGGGGAGAATGCTTGTGACGGGAAGTCCAGCATCGTTGGTGCATCTTGTTTGTGTTCTGGTCCCTCCTACTTCCTCATCCCCGACCCTCCCTGCTTCCGATCACCTTCTTCCAGGAGGAGAAGGGATGAGGGATGGAGGCTGGATCGAGGGGGGAGAGCGGTGAGGTCAGGTCAGTCACCTTCCACGAGACGGTGCGTAAGCAAGCTAATCCACAACGTTCAAACAAGTGTGGCCGCCAGTGTGCTCCTCGGCACGCCGGGCAAGGCTAACGCCGCGAAAATATGCTTCATGTAAGCGTCCAGGAGGAGGGGGGGAGATGAGGGGGGCCGAGGGGGAAGGAGAGGGGGGGAGGAGGGCTCAACCGTGCCGTGCACGGACCAGTGGCACCCTCGCCGGCGCTGTGCGGCCTTTTGGGCAGAAGTGGGCAGAAGTTGTCAAAAGGACACGCGCGGGCGCCGGTAGTATTCGAAGACGTGTTGATCATTGCAGTCGGATCGAGGTATAAGATCGAGGTCGTTTCAGGGATGGTACCCCTGTGTTATTGGTGTTTGCATGTTCTTGTGAACCTTGGGGGGGTAGCCTTAGATATTTCGTGCGTTTTGGCCGGCAGTGATTCTGACACCCTCCTCCGTGTACCCATTTTGGCTCAAGATGAAAAGAGATCTTGTTGCTAATCAACACATTATCTCATCATGGTAGCGTGAGCTGGCCACTCACTGTTGCCAACCCACCAGGGCCTTGGCGCGCGCGGGCGCCACGGCGAGTTGGCAAGGCGCGTGGGCTGAGACCCGAGGCTGGAAGAGAGCGGCATCAGCCGCACCAAGCTCGGCAGCGGCCGGGCCACCGGCAGAGGCTGAGAGGAGACCACCGGCAGAGTCCGGGAGGAGTCGACCGGCAGGAGCCGGGAAGAGCGGCCGCAGGCGCGGCAAGAGGAGCGACGCAGCGGTTGAGAATAGACGCCGTCAGCTTCAGTTCAAACACGGCCTGAAGGACACAGGCAACAAGCTGCACGACCTCGCGTATATCGAGGACCACCCGTCGGAGAATTCGTCGGGCGCCATCGAGGAGGCAAAGAAGGAGGTCTTGGATCAGATCATAGACCTCGAGCGCACGAGGCAGGAGATAGCTGAGAGCAAGGAGGAGCTCGCCAGGAGACACGCAGTCAAACATGGACGAGCAAGTTCGGCAGCAGTTCGACTTACTGAGGCAGGAGTTCGCAGCCCGAATGAGTCAGACCGTCGACGAGATGAGGAGGCTGGAGAACGAGAATCAACGGCTTCAGCAGCAAGTAGCAGGAGGCCTCGCGGCGATCCCGCAGGCGATCGAGCGCATGGGCGAGCAGATCCGAGGCGCTACGAACGCGGGAGGAGCCGCACCCGGTCTCGTCGACACGAAGGGGATCGGCAAGCCCACGACGCTAGGCGACGATCAGGAGAAGTTCGGAGCTTGGAACCGCAAGATGGAGAACTACGTGATAGGCGTGTACGGAGAGAGCTTCCGTCCTGTTCTCCGGTGGGCGGCAGAAGCCGAACGCCCCGTGACGATCGAAGGGGCACAGGAGGCGCACGGAGGAGTACCAGAGCTGGAGACCAAGATCAACCAGCTGTACGCGGCGCTGATCAGCACGACGGCGGACGGCAGCGAGAGCAACGACCTCGTGACGGGCGCACCCGACGGGAACGGTCTCGAGGCCTGGCGGAAGCTTCACCGCAGGTGGGACCCGACGACAGGTCCGAGGAAGAGGCTGATCCTGAGGTCGATCATCTCGCCTCCGAAGTGCAACGCGGAAGAGCTGGGGTCCGCCTTAGAGAAGTGGATCCAGCAGATAGGCAAGTACGAACGCCGCCAAGGAGAAGACGGGCTGGCCGAGTTGCCGGAGGATATCAAGATGGCGGCCCTCGAGATGCTCGTGCCTCAGGACATCGAGAACCACCTCGTACTCAACAAGCATCGGCTCGTGACGTTCCAGGACAGCCTGAACGAGGTAATGACGATCGTAGAGGCTCGGACAGGCGTGAAGATCAAGGAGCCATCGATCCGCGCACGGGCGCATCATCCGGACGACATGGACGTCGGATCGTTCGGAGCCCCGAAAGGAAAAGGCAAAGGCAAGGGCAAGGACGGCAAGAGCAAAGGGAAAGGCAAGACCCAGGAGCCGAAGGGGAAGAGCAAATCGACGAGCGGATCATACTCAGGCTCCCGCACATCCCCGACGGGTTCGGGCCGTGGTTCAGGGCACATGGCACCCCGAAGCACCGGCGTGCGCTTCGACGGCTACTGTCGGAACTGCGAGAGATGGGGCCACAAGGCATCCGAATGCTGGAGGAAAGAGCAGGGATCGAGTACGAGGGCTGGAACTGGATCCGCAACGGGGGCAAGCGCTGGTGGTAAAGGTGGCAGCCGCGGCGGCAAGGCCGGCGGCAAGGCGGCAGGCAGCCTGGAGGAGGAGCCTGAGGCGGAGGTCGCCGCTCTGGACATGGGCAGCTTGGACTGCCTGGAGCTCGCCAGCGGCAACGGCCGCGGCGTAGCGGCGGTCGACCTCTCCCCCTTCGTGCAGGACGACTGGATGAAGTTCAACTGGGACAGCGGTGCAGCTGTCTCAGCATTCCCTCGGAGCTTCGCGCCGCCGACGGGAATGAAGGGCAACGGCAGCACGTATCGCACGGCCAGTGGTGAGCTCGTCCCGGACGAGGGCAGCTTGCAGCTCAAGGCGGAGGACGAGTACGGAGTGCTCAGAGCGCTCAAGGGACGCGTGACGAACGTGCACAAGCCGTTGATCTCGGTGGGGCAGGCAGCAGGAGCTGGACAGTGTTCATTCCTAGGCCGCAATGGCGGCTGGATATTCCACGAGAAGAGCCCAATCGGCAAGCGCGTGGTAGGCATGCTGGAGAAGGAGGCGAAGACGGCGAAGCACCAGATGCTGCCGGTCTATCGTGAGCAGGGAGTCTACAACTTCTACCTCAAGAAGGGCCAACATGGCTCGGTTGCTCCTCTCGAGGAGGGACTTTCGGCGAAGTCGAAGTCCGAGCTGGTGGAGCTCCTCAGCAGCAAGTCGAAGGAGGAGCTGCTGGAGATCTTCGAGAGGACAGTCCCCAGGAGGCAGCCCTTGGCGTAAGTCCACTGGAAGACTCAATACCGCGGTCCCCTGCGGCATTGGCTGCAGGGGTGGCAGCGGCGGGGTCGGGACCTTCCGACATGAGACCGCC